TCACAGAATATTCCTGGTGCGTGTTTAATAAATAAATATGCACCAGCCCCAATATCACCTTGTTTCCATCGACTTAGGGCAATGATCAGCAAACTCATTTGTCAACAGAGCCAAATATCAACAGTACTTCTTCAAAATAGACTCACCCAGGCCGAAAACCGACTTCTGCGAATGGGCCACGAAGTTTCAAATGCACTGTATGTGTGCGCCCCCACGTGGTATTTTGTGGAAGTGCAACACTCAATTAGCCAAAGAGCCGAATGTTGCTCAAGAAACATGGGTTTGTCGACCACTGACCTAGGGCCTCCAATTAAAATAAATGAAAATACATCCTGCATATCAGATATTTACATTATGATTAATAACAGTAGCAAAATTAAAAGTATGAAGGAGCAAGAAAATAATTTTATGGTTGGGGGTTGCCACAACATGAACTGTATTAAAGGGTCACGGCATTAGAAAGGTTGAGAACCACTGGCTTAGGGACATGAGTGGCCATCAGTGAGATTCACTGAGCATGGGGTGAAGCATAGCAATCCCTCCTTTGGAAAACTGCTGTTTGAACTACTCTGTTATTCTTAGACAGTCTCTTATTCTGGAGGTCAACTCTGTTATTTTTAGACTGTAAAATAAGTTTGCGTTTTTGTTTGAATAGAAAAGGTAAAGTTAATTTTCTGACCTTGCAAGCTATCCATCTAACTAATACGCTCATATTGATGCCAGGTGCCTGTATAGATATGAAACTCAAGGTAACAGGTGTCTCTATAGATATGACAGGTGTTTGCTAGATATGATATGTACTCAAGGCTACAAGCTGTCTACAAAAATAACTGACACAAGGACCTAAGAATGATATTAAAGAGAATTATTCCTCCTTTGGGTGTTCATAATTTGACAGAGGTAATCTGCTCTGAACCAGCATGCAATAGAGATGATTCCTAACAGGCTCATTAAGGCATCTTGTCCAGATCGCTGATTTTTGATACAACAGGGGTAGAGGGCCATTGGCCATGAGACTTGACTGGTGAGAGCTGTGACTGGGGATGGGAGATCATCTGCAGCGCTGGTGGAGGTGGGCTCTGGATATCTAAGATGTGATGTGGTTCTCAATAGGTGAGGTTGAAGGAAAACACAGTCAGGGAGTGAGGCCTTTATAGCAGGGCTCAAGGCTGTCTCAATGAGTGTGGACTCTCAGAGTTGGTGTAGAACTTATTCCTGTTTGAATTTGCCAAGCAGTCACTACACCACACATGCTGAGTAATGAGTAGGAAGTCAAGGAGATGACTGTGGGGGCTGTGGGTGTGGGAGTGCAGGTGAGAGAGAGGTGTGGGAGAAGGAGTGACGTGCCCTTGGAGAGGGGGTGTGAATTCATGGCCACAGGACACTGGATGTTGCAATAAGGGTGAATAAGGGGTGAGTCCATTTTTGGTGGTTGCTGGCTGATATGATATATGATATGATATGAGGAATTTTAGTGTAATTGTCAGAAAATAGGGGTGTTATGGTGAGACCTGCCAGGTGCAAAGCTGAGGTGACACATAGATGCACACCTTCCTATGGTTGTCTAGGGCTGACACATTGATCAATGGGACCGAGAAAGCATATATTGTTGTCACTTGTGCTTGCACCTTTGCAATGGAATGGGGAAGGGAGATAGAAAGAGAGAGAAGCACATTACAGAGGATGTGAATTAGACATTTGGAGGAGAAGGTGAGTAGGAAATAAAGTGTTCCTGCCACGGCAAATTTGTGTTGCCTTTGAAAATGTGCCCCAGGAAATGAAGCTGTGTGAGAGAAGTGTGGTTCAAAGAATTATATTGAGCAGGTAGTGCAAGTTGATGGCCTAACACCATGGTATCAGAGTCAGAAGGGTGCAGCATGAGGCCATGTTTTTTCATGTCTCTGAGGGAGATTATGGGTGATAACAAGAGGATAGCCTGACAAAAGCAGTGATAAATCATTCACATTTTCTTTATGGCCAACATCTCTCTCTTCTCTATGTGGGTGACACCCTCTGTATTGACAGAGGCAGTGTGGCCTACACGTGAGGCCCAGAGCTCAGGTATCTGCTCTCTGCTCAACTGCCTTTATTGTTTTGGGAAGACACAGTAACAGTAGGAATGTAACCAGAGAGATATTTTGATCGGCCGAAGTCCGGCTGTCTTGTCTGATGAAGGGTAGAGGGAGCATATGGATGTGGAGGGTGGGAATTATGAAGAACATGAAATCCTAGGAGAATAGCTAATCGTGCATTGAACTGTCCCCATTTTGACAGAATATGAACTTTGAGGACGTGGCCATTGTCTTCTCTGAGGAGGAGTGGGGGCTCCTTGATGAGGCTCAGAGACTTCTCTACTGCAATGTGATGCTGGAAGTGTTTGCACTTGTCTCATCAACAGGTAAGACCTTCACGTTCCTCCCAATGTCCTGTGGTGATGTCTACTCTTCCTTTATTCTCCAAACATAGCTCTCACAGCCACACCATGGGCTCTACTAATATCCCCCACTATCCTTTCAAATGGGCTGTGGCTGCCAGGGGCGAGCTGTGTGGCGAGTCCTGAGCTCTGGACTCCCCAAGCATCCCTTACACCCGCTGCCTCAGAAAATGTAAGAAGTGTCTGGCAGTCAGGAGTCCTGCAATGAGCTTAATGGGACCCACTTTGAACTTTTTCTTCCTGGGAAGGTGACTGTGTCCTCATGGCTTCCACTTCTGCACCATTCATCCAGGTAAGGCTCTGTTACTGCCTGTGCCAGGTTATGGTATTTACTTACATGAACCGTAGCTGTACTTCTAACATCCTACCTCAATTGTTGTTTGTAATATTTCCTTCCCTGAATACTATTGCATTCCGAATTGCTCTGGGTTAGTGCTGGCTGCTCACCTCCCTTGTATTTCATTCATTCTCTGAATATTTAGTTTGTATGTATTTATAGAGTAGAAGGTGCATGAAGAACCCTGTGTTCTCTCTCAGGGTGATCTGGCAAGATGGTCTCTGATGAGGCCTGATCCTACTGAGTGGAAACTGGGGTAAGGTGTCACATGAGGGCTTTTTTCAGATCACACCAGGAACCCGCTTGTGTCCAACCATATTTAGGTGCAGATGCGTTTGTCCACACCTTATTTCTACATTTTCTTTACCATTATTGACATTTTGATGGCTGATAATTTCATATGTAACTTCATGGCTTTTGGCTACCTTCATCTTTGTCACCTTTTTGCATCACATGTCCCTGGGCACTGCTCCCTGTGCAGTATTCTCCTACATGGACCTGCACATGTGTTATGAGGTGCACATACATGCTTAAGTAGTCCTAGAACCTCTGCTCTTGAGTTTACTTGGAATAAGACATAAGCAACCTCTGCACAGCTTGCCCATGTGACCAGCAGACAAGCCCTGCTGAACAATGTTAGCAGAAGAAGGAGCTGATGATCATGCTTCGATTCCATGTGGTGCTTGCCATCTTTGTGTCATATTTCTGGTGAGGCTTTCCTTGTTTTGTGATATTCAGAGTTCCAGAACTTCACAGGAGCCTTTTACCAATCCTGCCAGCATATCTCTTATTTTCAGACAATTGCATGGATCGCATGTATGATGTGCAACATATTTTTGTAATGGAACTTCCCTCATCACCGTAGTCAACATCCAGTTCCTCCTCATTTCTCTGTTTTCAGGTTGTTGCCATAAAACAGATGATGAGGAGACCTGTTCTGAGCAGAGTGTATCTGTACAAGGAGAGTCACAGGTCAGGACATCTAAGACAGAGCCAGCAACCCAGAGGACTCATCTGTGTAAGCGGTGTTTCTCCTTGTTCAAAAATATTGTGCACCTGACTGAGTCACAAGCAGCATACCTTGAGCAGAAAGCCTTCTTCAATGACACAAATGTGAGAGACTTCTGTTTCAGTGCAAATCTTCGCCAGCAACAGAGGAAAGCCAGTGGAGAGAAGCCCTGGAAAGAAGCTGTGGACAGGGCCTCGTTTGTGACCAGGTGCAGCTTCTACTTATCAGGGCTGCCTTCATCCAGGAGGGAGGTTGGGGAAGACTTGCCAGCCATCTCAGAGCTTCTCCAACAGAAGGCCCCTCTCGACACTGAGGAGTCACACAGTGGCAGTGAGAGTTCCCAGAAACTTCTCAGTGGAAAATGTCATAACAAGTGGGGTCAATGTGAAAATGCTGCCAGCCACAACCAGAAAGTGGTTCAACAGAGCGTCTGCAAGAGAGATGTGAATTATGCATGGAAGAAATCTGGAAATATTTTTAGAGGAATCTCTAGCCTGATTGGACATAGGAAAGTTCACAGTGGACAAAAGCCGTATGAGTGTAGTGATAGTGGGAAGGCCTTTGGATGTAAGACTAACCTCAATCAACACCACAGACTTCACACTGGAAGAAAGCCCCATGTGTGTAGTGGTTGTGGGAAGTCATTCAAGTATATCTCTGATCTTAATCGGCACCAGAGATTTCACACTGGGGAAAAGCCATATGAGTGTAGTGATTGTGGGAAGGCCTTCGGATATAAGACTAACCTCAATCAACACCACAGACTTCACACTGGAGAAAAGCCCTATGTGTGTAGTGATTGTGGGAAGTCATTCAGGTATATCTCTGTTCTTAATCGCCACCAGAGAGTTCACACTGGGGAAAAGCCATATGAGTGTACTGATTGTGGGAAGACTTTCAGTCATAGGTACAACCTCACTCGACACCAGAGAGTTCACACTGGAGAAAAACCTTATGAGTGTAGTGAATGTGGGCAGTCCTTTAGAATAAGGTGTACCTTTACTAAGCACCAGAGAGTTCACACTGGAGAAAAACCTTATAAGTGCAATGAATGTGGGAAGTCCTTTAAACAAATGTGTACCCTGAAAGAACACCAGAGAGTTCACACTGATGAAAAACCGTTTGAGTGTGGTGAATGTGGGAAGTCCTTCAGACAAAGGCATGCCTTCACTGAACACCAGAGAATTCACACTGGAGAAAAACCTTATGAGTGCAGTGAATGTGGGAAGTCCTTTAGAGGAAGGTTTAACTTCACTGAACACCAGAGAATTCACACTGGTGAAAAACCTTATGAGTGTAGTGAATGTGGGCAGTCCTTCAGACAAAGGCATGCCTTCACTGAACACCAGAGAATTCACACTGGAGAAAAACTTATGAGTGCAGTGAATGTGGGAAATCTTTTCGATGCTATGGTACCCTTTTGAACCACAAGAGAGTTCATACAGGAGAAAGGCCTCATGAGTGTAGTGAATGTGGGAAATCTTTTAGCTGAAAATCTCACCTCCTTACACACCTGATTGTTCACAATGGAGAAAAGCTTTAAATGAGCACCGCATACTTTCTTTTTCTCTTTGACAATAACAACACTGAAGGGGACTCTTTGGTACACATTTAACAGAACATAAACCCCTTTTATCACAACATGCACTTGGCTAGATTCCTCATTAAAATACAAATATAAGTGATGCTTTAGATAACTGCATGGCACTTGCTAATATACTCGGGCCTAGTACCCGATTGAAATCAGTAGGAGTATTTCTGGCTGAGGCGACTTCACCTCCACCACCTGGCTCACCTGAACAGGGAGCCTCAGCCACAGCCCCTGCCTTGTCAGCGAAAAGGAATTCTGTGTTCTCACTTCTGCCTGAGCAAACTGTGATTACTCCAAGCTCGTGGCAGGATCTTCATTCTTTTTGACTAGGAAATGGAGTTGATTGAGGGTTCATCCAGTGCACCCATCCTCAGCTAAAAAGAGCTACCTCTCTCAGGATATCACCTTATGCTGTGATGAATTGTTTCAGGTTCCAGTTCACCACCCTGCAAACCCATTGAATTTTCTAACACATCTCGGGATTATGATCTTTTTGTCCAGGTGCTTTTGCTCATGTACTAGTACCTTTCATTTTGTTGGTCCTATTCATTGCCTGGATTGATCTGAAAGCGCACTCGGGATCTGTCTGCCTGTACAGGGGAACAGATATTGTGGGAATCCCCAACCAGCTTTGCTTCCGAAGGCAAAGCCTGGAGTCAGAAAATCCGTTTGTCCCGTATTCACTTGTAGTGCAGTGCTGGCCCAAGACCTCAAAGAAAGCCGGCATGACTTTGTGGTTCTCTTTTGCAGCCTACTCCCTCCTATGATTGAGCTCTGAGGTCATCTTGAAATGTGGGTTGGGAGGTTTGTTGTGCTTCTGTGAACAATGTGAATTATATTATCTGTTCAATCTGTCTCACATACTATCATGGTGCCCTGTGCCATTATGGATGACATTTCATAGGCTGGTATCTCTTGTATTGAGACTCTGAGGGTTAGGTTGAACTACAACTGGGTCAGAAACCCCATATTCATAGTGAGTAGGAAAGAGTGCAGAGAATTATGTGAATCACACCTCATCTGAACATTACCCATAAAGACCAATGACTTGTGACATGTGTGGTCCTTGTGGACAGGCGTCCTCCGTTCCTCCATCACTGTTTCCTGTGGCTAAAGTCATTTTTAGAGAAAATAATCTAAAGGGTCTGTTTCCTCTTCTGGTCTCTCTAATGTGTTCACCTCAAGGTGTGCTCAACAGGCAAGACCTCAAAGCTAGAGGAAGGGTAATCCTGTAGTCAGTCCCAGGATGTGGATTTGTGACCCAGTCAGCATTCCTGTTTATTCGGATGTCTATAGTTTTCTCTGCTTGCCAATATTTGCTTCCACTGAAGCAAGGCTGGTGCTCCCAGGAAATTAGGAGAAAGTTGGTAGAGCCCATATAGGGTTATTTTAATTTTCTATCAAGACAGGGTTATATAGGCCTTTATTTGGAAGCACATTTTAAGGTTTTATTTAGGTGTATTTGTACTATTTGGTGAGCTGGGACATAGGGATCAAGCTCTAAAATGGTCACATGTGACATAAACTTATCTCTCACCCGTATACAGGTTCAGGCAAATGCAGGCATACAGATGTGAATATGCAAAACACAGAGTTGGCTCTATTATTCTAAATAAGTATTTTACATATTTAAAAATATTTTTAACGATTTTTCACAAAGGAAGGAAGGGAGAGAGAGAGAAAGAGAGAGAGCAACAGAGAGAGAGAGAGAGAGAGAGAGAGAGAGAGAGAGAGAAATGGTATTGTAGAAAGAAACATCAAACAGCTGCCTCCTGCAAGTCACCTACAGGGCATCCAGGCAGGCATGTGCCTTGAGTTGGAATGGAACCAGTGACCTTCTAGGGCAATGGATGGTGCTCAAACACCTGAGGTTCACTGGCCAAGGAAGAGTTTATTCTTGTTTTTTATTATTTTTATATTATTGTAGTAATTTCCATGCCTACAGCTCTACACCTACATGTGACACACCCTGTAGTTACCTCCTGCCCTTTTGTAATTTTTCCTTCCCCTTCCCCAGGCCTAAATGCAGTCATTGATTTTCCTCCTTTACAAGATTAGTTAATATTTTTAGTAATTTCAGAAGCACTATAAGGGGTATAGAAATATTGCGTTCCTTCATGCTACACAGTATTTTGAGATTCAACACGAATGCTTATGTGAATAGTAAATTATTTTTAATGGCTGAGTCATACTATGTTCTGTGAATAACCAATTTACCTATTGATCTGTCTATTGTTTTAGTCTTTTCTAGGTTTGGGATATTAAAAATAATTCTGCTGGGAATATTGCCTTCAGTTCTTTATACAGAGATTTGTTTTACTTATGGAACTTTTGCAGTTTAGATTAATGTTTTACCTGTTAGTATATGCAGAACTGTGTTCCAAAATGATCATTCCCTTTGGCTTTCCACCCACCCACAGTAATGAAATATCTAGTTTTCTACAACCCTGCCAGCACATGTGATGTTTAATATTTTTTATAATAGGCCGAGAAATGAGTATAGTGTTAACTTGCTTTGTTTTAATTCCATTTCCCTAATAAATTAAAAAAAATTTTTCCCTAATAAATTTTTATGGTGAACGTTTTTTCAAGCAATTATTTACACTGTCTTTGTCTCTTTTGTTGCAATGTCTGGTCAGAATCTTTTGCCAATTTTTAAAATGAAATTATTATTTTAACTATATGTTATTGCAGATATCTTTATTTATTTCACTCAATCCTCAATGACTCAACTGAATTCTTTGCAATGTGAAACTAAATTTTTTTAAAAAATATTTTTTCATTGATTTTAGAGAGAGGGAGAGGGATAGAGAGATAGAAACATCAATGATGAGAGAGAATCATTGATTGCCTGCCTCATGTACGCCCCCTTCTGGGGATCAAACCCGCAACCCACGCATGTGCCCTTGCTTAGAATCGAACCCAGGACCCTTCAGTCCCCAGGCCATCGCTCTCACCACTGTTCCAAACCGGCTAGGGCTAAATCCCTTAATTCTTTTTTTTAAAAAAAGTATTTTTATTGATTTGAGAGAGGAAGGGAGAGGGAGAAAGAGAGAGATAGAAGCATACACGATGAGAGAGAAACATCTATCAGCTGCCTCTTGCACATCCCCTACTGGGAATCGAGCCCACAACCTGGGCATGTGGCCTTGTCCAGAATCGAACCTGGGAACCTTCCGACCACAGACTGATGCTCTATCCACTGAGCCAAACCAGCTAGGGCCCCTTAATTCTTTTTTAAAATTGTAATTCTCATCTGAGGAGATGTTTATTGCTTTGAGAGAGAGAGGAAGGGAGGGGCACAGAGGAAAAAAAAGGAACATCCATGTGAGAGGAAACATGGACATGTTGCCATCTGCCCAAACTTTTTTTCTGAGGTTCACTGCTTTGGAAGTTGGGAGTGATGGTTTAGGGCAGCGGTTCTCAACCTGTGGATCTCGACCCCTTTTGCGGTTGTATGACCCTTTCACTGGGGTCGCCTAAGACCATCCTGCATATCAGATATTTACATTATAATTCATAACAGTTGCAATAAGACAGTTATGAAGTAGCAACGAAAATAGTTTTATGGTTGGGTCACAACATGAAGGTTGAAAGTCAGTGGTTAGAGCAACCTGGGGACAAAGTCGACCTGGATGAGGAGACAGGCACCGGTCCGGATGGACTTCCACTGTCATTTCCTACCCATCCCCACTCCTCTTCTTGGCCATGCACAGTCCCCACAAGAGGCGGGCACCGTGTGGTCATGTTAATGGGGCCCATCGAGTAAGTATGTCAGGTTCTCCTCCTGACCACCTGAGTTTGACTTCAGCCTGTGATGAGCTCTGACCAATGAAATTTGCTGGGAGTGAAGCCTGTGACCTCTAACAGAAGAGTCTGGACACACGGAGACTGGCCATCCCCTATGTCCATTCTGATAACACCAAGCAGGAATCTACATGGGTGGCCTCTCCATTATCCTGGACTCAGGGGAACAAGGGTGCACATGGGGTATGAACAAGAAAGACACCTTTTTTGATAAAAGACCCTAAAACTTTGGGAATGTTTATTACCCATAATAAGATCTAGCTGGTCCTAATGGGAATGCGTCACCTATTCTACCCTCTAGAAGGGAGCAGAGCCTAACATTAGAAGCCATAGCTGTGTTATTAGAGACACATGGGTTTGATTTCCAGCCCTGCCTTCATTAACTCTACAATCAGGCAACTTACATCGAGTCTCTGAGTCTGGATTTCATCTTGATGAAATAGATCCTGAAAGGATTCAAGTTGTGGAGAGGATTGAGTGAAATAATAATAATGGAGGTAAAGCATTGAATCCAGGGCCTGGCACATGTAATGAACATTTGTAGTAAGTGTTAGCTCCATAGCTGCAAAATGTGTGCTGACTGCAGACATGCAGACAATGTAGGAAATGTCGACTTGTTGGCCTCTGTGTCCTTTCAAATATTGCTTTTAAGCGAATAGGATAGAATTATGTATATATTCCCATAGCCTTATTTTTCTCTTAATAATGTGCTATTTTTTTGTTAAAAGTAAAAACTCTGGCCCTATTCAGTTTGGCTCAGTGGATAGAGCATTGGCCTGCAGACTGAAAGGTCGCGAGTTCGATTCCAATCAAGGGCATGCACCTTGGTTGCAGGCACACACCCAATAGGGAGTTTGCAGGTAGCAGCTGATAGATGTTTCTCTCTCATTAATGTTTCTAACTCTCTATCCATCTCCCTTCCTCTCTGTAAAAAATTAATATAACATATTTTATAAAATGATAATAAAAAAAGGACTCTGAGGACTGGAGTGATTCCATTGTTTGAGTTTCCTCCCAGGGAAACAAAGGTTGCAATTCCAGGTGAAGCCACAATTCAGGATCCTGGCTGGATGCCCAGAACGTGGGTAAGGGAG